TAGACAAACTATACCACGGTAGATGTAAAAACAGTAATTTAAGAGGAAAAAATAAAGTGAATTTTGAGGGTAGTCGACACAACAGTTCAGTGTCAACCGATAGAACATACTGTGTACCCATTTTGTGAAATTCGTGTTTAATTCGGCTTGTAACAGGTATGGTACATTCTTTATTCCTTTTTAAAATCGTTTGTCCTTAAAGAACACAATGAACAAGGAAATATGCATCAACAATGCGTCTTTAAAACCACTATCTTATCAATATTATCATACATATGTATATGTATATTAACACCACAAACTTCCATGACCCGGTGCGCGCTATTGTTATGTATTTAAATATTGGTCTCGTAGCTATATTGGGACAAAAAGCCTTGCTTTACAAACAGGGACATGTCGGCACTGATTACGTCATCACGCGATACAATAAAAATGTTTCATAAAAAGATCAGATAACCCTAAGCCCCAATCGCCTAATGGTTTGGTGTACTACCGATCTTGCGGTCGAGGGTTCGAATCCCCGGCATTCGACTATCGTCGTGAACCACATCCTAGCACAAGCCTAGAGCTTAGTTGGAATGTTTAAAGAAAACATTAGTAAATTAACAAAAATCTACTAACATTTTTTATAAAAAAAAGAAACAAGTAATTTGATCCATTTTAGCTAGACACTAGATGTCTCTTACTGGGATACTTCTAGAATTTTTTATAGGGTCTTTCTGAATTTTATATTCAAGCTACTGTTTTATTAAACTGGACTCTTTTTGCTGAAAACCTATCTCTACTCGTGACTTAAATTGGTCGTCTATTAATGGTTATACTATACTGTGCCTTACGCCACTAAGTGTCGAACTCTATGTCAAGTGATAACTGGCCTTGGTGTAGAATCGAAAAAAGAGGATGACCGTTTAATTAACCTTTAGATGACCGTGGAAGTGAATAATAAGTGTACTGACAAATACAAGAAAAAGAGAAAGCAACAGTTGAAAGTTTGTGACGATATAAACAAAATCAAATCAAAATAAAATGATTCATGTGTTAATGTTATCTATGCCCGATTAGGTTACATTGCGTAATTGTTATCTCCGTATGTACAGTCAGTCTCCTTTGACGAGCGTAGATTACGACACCTTGTTAATAGTTTTATCTTAAATGTTAATATTTAATTGTGTGAAAAATTAAATGTAATTAAATGTACGTTTCATGATATAAATACAACCATAACTTACAGCGGACGCACACCTAAACTATCGCACAATTGTTTAGTTGCACAACTAAAAATCGAGTAGCGTGCGCATCTCCATATAAGTTCATAGGAATTAAAGCGCGACTAAACAGTTGTGCGATAGTTTAGTCAACGATATGCACCCGCTCTTAGTGTCGCCACTACCGTCTTGTACTTGGTTCGTAGACGATTATTTTACTTTTAAAATTAGTTGCTTTAAAAACAATTGAATGACAATAAAATAAACGCGGCTCTAGTACTAAAATTAGATTTCATTTTTATTTAAACTCAAGTGGAAACTGTCGTCATAAAATGCTGTTTTATCTTTCTTGTAAAGTTACAAACCATTCCTCTCTATAAAAACGAAATTTTAGATGGAAGGATGATTGTTATAGTTTGCCGCCTAAGCGGCTGAACGGATCTCGATGAATAGATCTCGAGGCATAGATGTAGAGGATAGTCTGGAGGAAGACAGACTAACTCCTTTTGTTTCATTACACGTTGACGGAGTCTGGGGCAATAGCAAGTTAATTATAGATACTCGTTTACTCACTGATTTAGTAATGAACATTTGAAGTGTCCATAGTAGTTATCGTCCTTTAAAACTCTTGTACAAACATCGATCGGTTGAAGTCAATATATAAAATTTATACACTCTGACATGGAGTTTATGTTTTTACTAGCGTTTTACAATGCGGGCATATCGATCTACAGCAAAACGTACTTCAATACGGTTTTAACATTCGTTTTAATGTTTTTATGTTTGGACTAAAACTCTTACTTGAAAGTCAAAAAACTATTTGCTCCCCTATACATTTCAGTATGCTTTAATCTATAAAAATATTCATATAATTACAATATATGTTACAGTTTTTATTCAATATATAGCAATAATCTAGAAACTTTGCTTGCTAATGCAAATAAATCACTTATTTATTTTTATATTAACGCATACCATCTTTCGACTACATAACCAATAAACATCATGTGGATTTTTTAAGAAACGCTAGTTTAATCGTTATTGAATAAATATATATTTTTCAATGAACGTAGTAATATTATAAATACGAAATTCATTAACTAGACGATGTTGTGACATGGCATATGCCCGTAGTGTGTGACCGACAACATTAAAAAACGTTTAAAAATAATTTGCTGTGATAAGCACGCTAATTGGGTTATCACAGACGCTCTTACTTATGACAAAATCCATAGGAAGTAGATGAATGGTGCGTAAGATATGTGAATGAACACGCGCACCAAGTGTTTTATAAACAAAAAAAAAATATATTATAAATACGAAAGATGGATGAGAAAATGTAGATGGATGGATGTTTGTTTGACTTTGTAGCCTAAATTGCTGAATAGATCTCGATGAAATTTGGCATAGACGTAGAGGATAGTCTGGAAGAACACATAGACTACTCACTTTTGTTTTTAATTCCACGCTGACGGAGTCGCGGGCAAAAGCTAGTATTTAAATAAAAAGGAAACTGATCGTTAATTGTCATGATGCAACACAAATACAAAATTATTCTTTGTTAATTTATTACAAACTAGCTTTCGCCCGCGACTCCGTCCGCGTGAAATTAAAAAATGGCACCCGATGTGTTATTCCATTATTTCTTCAACATCTATACGAAATTTCATAGAAATACGTTTAGCCTTTTACACTACAAACTCTAACAAACATCCATCCATGCATGTATATAAACTTTCGTATTTATAATATTAGTATGATGTATCTATAGATTTTATAACTGAGACCAACAGCTGTTTAATTTGTGGGAAAAATCATATGACCTTGTCGACTGGACTGTACAAGACTAACTGCTTCCAACAGATCGACATTTTTCTGTACCATCTGTAAATGTGTCAATGACAAAATAAATGTTCATTGCAGCTGCTAATTACTGACAAGTAAATGTCGTTAGAGACTCTATAGCCCAGTGGTTTAGTGGCCCTTTTTACCATCGGTTCCATATGTTACCACAATATTTTACTAGATTTGAATTTAATATTATTTTCTTGGGGTAAAGGAAAACATCGTGAAGCAACCAGCACATATCGGCGAAGAAATTCGGAGATGTGTGAAGTCAACCAACCCTTAGTGGGCCAGCATGGTTGACTATAGCCTACTCATCCAGAAGGTTAGGCTCCGAGACCCTCAGTAGGTACGGTATAAGGAGCTGGAGGTGATGAATTTAATAACCAGACTTTAAAAATGTAAAGAAACATAAATGTGAAGAAATACTGTTTAAAATTATCAGTAAAAATTAATTAAATCTAAAGAATTCCCATACATTTTAATTAATTTGTAATTAAAAGATAAATATTAAAAGAAGTAAATTTAATTTAAAATAATTCAAATTCAATAAACACAAATCTTTGTAACGTATGATATAATTATTGATATGCTAAATACGAGATAAAACAATAATTTAGTAAAAGATATACCAGACTCATGTTTATTATCTGAATTAATTAATCAATACTCTCAGTACATATTAAGATATTCTACTCTTAACACATTTATAATTGATGCTAGAATAAATTATAAAACGACATTTCCAAACAAGAATATTCCCTTTTTTACGTCTGTAATAAAATTGTAGAAAATGGCAAGGATATGGCAACCACTTAGGTAAATGTCAGGAATAATTTTGTTTGCTTTAAATGTCCGGAATTGAATATATTTTGGTAAAGATTATTTACGTGAACCACTTAATCCAACCAGAACCAAAAACCCTACTACTAAATTCTAGTTATTTAAATTAGACCAAGGTTCGTAATAAAACAAACACCTATATACCCTATTATTACATTATATATACCACTATATACCTATATTTTCTTTCGTCAATCCGTCGATGGAAAGTTCTAGTTCAAGCAGTTATCAAAGGATAATGTAAAAGTTGACTAATTTGGAGCAATCTGTCACGATGTCTGTCCCCCACTATAACTCAGGAAACTTTATGAAGTATATTTACTTTGTGTTCTTCCAACAACATTGTATTTATCGTCATTTAGTTTAGTGTTCCCTAAATCATAAAACTATTTCAAAGCATGTAATAACAAATGTGTCTGTTTTCTTTCCTTGATATTTTAAATCTGTTTAGTATTATAGAGAATTACTCAAAGGTCACAAATAAAATCTTTAATTTAATAAAGCTTACTACAGACGTTCAGTCGTCAGGCTTAGAATTAAAATTTTAATAACAAAACGTAATTACACATTTTTATTTTAAACTCCACTGGTCCTACTTGTTAAATGTTAATTTTTTTCTTGTAAATGCTTCGTGCAAACAAGTTTATTGACATTTTAATAGACAATCTATTTGTCTTAACTCTATTACCAACCGCTAAGATCTCTCTTACAACCAAAATCGCTTTAAAGTCAAAGCAACCATTTCCCTATTAGTACCGCATATAAAAGTATGGACAAAAGAACACGAGTAACAAGTCATTACGCGTGTTAATGTTCGTATTGCGCATTCCTGAAATACTTCCTGTGGCGTAACAGCTTGCCCTTCGGCGCTAGCTCGCGTCATACAGCTTATCGAGAGCTGCGACCCACTTCCGAGGGACCAATAGAAAAATCACACGATCGAACCCATTAAACCAGTGCTCGTTATTTAGAGTTACTCTGTGCAGTTTAGTTAAAGATTTTTTTTATTTCAGATGCGTTGCCTACTGTTGATCGACAGAGGAGGGGAAGTACAGAAGGATATGTATCGTTCCTATGCGTCATTTCCAACGTCAAATCTTCTTCTCCTGTCTATCCTAAAGAAAAGGGGTCTAAAATTAGGCCATCTGAGTCTTACACTCATCATGCGTAACGCATCGGGCACCAACTGCATTACACGATTGTTGCTGGCATCTACCACTGTTAAATTGCAAATAGGAAAGGTTAGTATTACATATGTTACACATATTTTAAATGCAAAGGTTCAGACGTTTACTATAGTTTGTAGCCTAAACTGCTGAACGGATTTCGATGAAATTTGGTACAGATATAGAGGATAGTCGGGAAGAACACATAGGCTACTTTTGTTTTTTTTTTACTCCACGGGAACTGAGTTGAGCAACAGCTAGTACTACATACATTGACTGCCGGTGTCTAACGAGTAACAAGTTCAATAGAGTTCAATCCGGAACGTAAAGCTGAAGTCAATCATGGACTACTGAATGAGCATCATCATCTTCCCTACCATATCCTACTCCCGCAGGGCACACCGGTTTTTCGTCCTCTAAATAACTCTATAACACGTCATCTCAGTCATCACTCCCTTCTTGATCCTGTCACCTTTTACTAAATCCATCTACCTCTTTCTAGGTTTATCTCTACCGGTGTAACGTCCTTCTTGTTACATGCGATTCATCCCTTCTCATAACATGCCCATATCACGCTAACCTTTCACTCCTTATTTTCGCAACCACCGGGACTACTCTCAAACTTCCTCTATTGTACTCATTTCGTATTTTATCCAATCGTGTTCCCCAACACATCCATCTTAACATTTGCATTTCCGCCACATGTATTCTCCTGTCATCCGTCCCTTTTACTGCCCCACATTCAGATCCATACATCATGACACAATATATCTAATTGTTATCTCTCTGAATCCAAGGATACCAGAAAGAATTGATTGTTAAAGGTTTGTGACTCCATCAATATTCACGGTGATTTGCTTAGGACAATAATAGCGGTTAGGATTACGGCCGCGGTATGCGGCAGATGCTATCTGTAACGAACGCACTGTAATTACAGTCCCACCGCACGATACCAGCGTTTAAGATTGACCAGTAATATAGTCTTAATATCACTTCGACCGAATTACGCGAACATTACCCGCAAAGTATCACAGGTTTGAGTGAATCACGAGATAATGTTACCAGTAAAATACCGCAAATTAATGTCGCTGATATGAAGCTTTGGTTTATCTTGGTATTTTTATTGCAGCTTTTTGTTCGATATAGGGTTGATTTTTTTTCCATTTACTATACAATGTTTTATTTGATATAATATTTTAAAAGCCTCATCACAGACTTTCCAACTCTCGGCTTGACGGCTAAAAGATTGATGGACTTTTTTTGCAATCTTCTGTAATCAATAATATTTAAAATTTTATTTGAATTATCGTTATTCATTATTAATACATTGATATCGAAGTAATAGAATTAAATGTTAAAAAAAACTAAGCCCATTGAGCAATACTAAACGCGTGACTTAATACAACTTATGTAATGAGTTTAGAGTTCAACGACTTATAACCGCCATTTGATTTTAATTGATATCATATAGAGCCTATTATTTATTTATTGCACTTCCTAAATCATTGTTGAAAAGAAATAAGGACCTAAAATGTAGCGATAAATGTCTATGGCGTCATTTCTCTCCTTTAAAAGATTCAGATCAATAAGAAAACAATTAAGAGCCTGTCCCACCACTGGCTGATAGTGGATAGCTTAAAAATGACGTAAGTGTCAGATAAGGTAACAAAATCCGATATATCCCTCACATGTTTTACACGTTGGATTGTTATTAGTCAATTTACAATTTAGTGGGACAGGTCCTTAGTATTGTAAGTAATTATCTTCAAGTACTTCCCAAACAGTTTATGCACATTTTAATGTAAACACAATAAAATCATACTAAAAAAAGTATACTTCACTAACTTCTTAGAATAAGCAACATGAAAAAATAAAGCAATTGATAGTCATTGAATACGCGAAAAAAAATTAAGATCAATAGACTATTATTACTAAGAAAACATTACGTCCAACGTCCAGGACCTAAATACTTATATAAAAAACATCATCCGTTGTCAATCTGCATGTTAAAGAGCAAAAACAGTTGTCAAAAACACGTATGAAGAGATAAGCCACGATATGAATTGCATATATTAATATTAATTGAAAGCCTTTTAATAATCGTAATTATTAATACAATATCGAACTGGCTAAAACAACTGTCAAGTTTAAAAAAAGAATTGATTCACAATTGAACTGCAACATGCTGGTAGTTTTTTTTTTTGTCATACGTGCTGTAAATGGCTTTGTGATAATTGATTATATGCCAGCGTGAGAATAATTGCCACGAACATCAGTTTGAGAGAGATCTGTTGCCATCAGGGCAGAATTTAATACTAAAAATCTACAAGCGTATATCAGATAGAAGTATTCATTCAATATAGTTTGTATAAGTGTTCTCAGAAAACTTTTTTTTGTTACAACATTGTATATTGATGCAGAATAAACAAAATGCAGAGCTAATTAGATGAAAATATTCACAATATTAAAATAGGTTGAACTAGTTTCGTCAATATTTAAATTTGATTGGGCAAGGGTTAAGGTTGAATAATCGATGTGTCCGGTCTATACTAGATATATAAATTATAAGTGAATGAAAATCTGATTTGTATTTTTAATTTTAATTAATCTTGAGTATCAAATTTTTGTTCGTCATCTCCGAGTCCTTATTCCTTTGCCACCTTCTTTTATAAAAACAAATACTAACCTTTTAATTTTCTGATCACAGGATAATCATTCACTATCTAATCACAAACTGGAAAATGTTAAAATTGTTGAAACCATAGATTTGTGTTTGAAAACTTATTAAAAGTTGTTTTTGATGTCAGTATCGTATTTAATTACGATGTGTGAACCGCGTGGAGAGCGCGTCGGAAAATTGTACGGCACGTGTGTACTCTACCGCGTCGTGTAATCGACTATACCGAGCTATGAACCCGCACCGGCAACTTTTAACTAGAATTTTACAATAGTATATGTTTCTTTTATGCTTGTGCTCCAATTTCGAATACTTGCGCAAAAAAAGTAGCCTACCTCTGATGGTTTGTTGATCTCATTCAAAACGTATATTTCTAAGTTCGAAACTTCTTTATGCGAGTACACACGATCGGAACAAATCGCCTCATGTCTAACTGTGGACTTTAGACTTTTTACTAACCTTCGTCTAGTTCACGTTTGTATTGAAACGCGGAAATTAGTTTTTATGTTTAAATCTGGTATCGCGTAATTTCTAATAGCGAAGTGGAACAGATTCGAATGATTGAAGTTTTTCATTTCCCTTTCATCTGTCAATGTCGCACGCCATTTCCGAACGAGCGAACTGATTGCAACCAGAAAGTTTCTCATTGATTATTATAATAAATGTTGACATTTTATTTTTAAAAAATATTCGTTTCATTACCTATACGAATTAACTTTGTCGTCTATTTAAATTATGGTTCACGGATACCTTAGTTTTGTTGCCAAAATGATTTGAATAGAAAATGAGCGTAAAATTCCGGTATTTTGATGTACGCTTATTTATTTTTTATATTCTATAGTTTTTTCCAATTGTCATGTCACAGGAATAATATCAATTTACATTACAATTAGTATTAATTCCCGGCAGTGTTGCATTCCAGCGGACCAAGTTCAAAGGCTGAGTTCCCCGGGTTCACATGCAAAAGGCAATATATCTGTATCTCGTACGAACACGTAACTGCCACCGATCGATTGTGAATTTCGTATGTTTAAAATCCGACTAAGTATCACCCCAAGTAATATTTTCTAATCACTGACATTTTGACGTAATACATTAAAATCTGTTTTTTGATAGTCCTCATTTTTTTATTTTATGTCTAAATTAACAAACTTTATTAGACTTTTCAATTAAAATTTTTTGTCATTCTAACTTAAATTTTTGTTATTTAAAATTAAATATTTAACTTAAGCTAAAATGTATGAACGATTTGATTTGATATTAGAGAAAAAGAGATTAATTAAAAACAACTTCATATATATCTAGCCGGATTGTAAGCTGACGAATTTCACAACCTAGCTGTAACCAATCCAAGTTATAACTCTTTCTCTGTGACACTACGTATAAATGTTACACAAATAACTTTACTTACATTTGTTTTGCTTCCAGCTGGAGGCATGCTCCTAAATTTATGATCATGTAAAGAAAGTAAACGTGGGTTTCCACTACTAATAAGATAATAAGAAATAACACAAGATAGTAACCACTTTTTTTGTAACAGTGCGAAAGTTTTTAAATTAAATCGACCTAAATCAAATGCTAACAAGAAAGAATACTTTGCCGTTTCTAATGAAACCTTAAACTGTCGGGATAATAACGGACTAGCTTAACTGTCGGTTGACATAGTTACTGCATCCATTAAAATAAACCTAATGTAATCTAAACGAAGTGTATTCAACAGTATATCTTGGTTTCAATGCTTCTGATATATGATCACTTATTGGTTGACACGTTTATGATGCTATGATGAAAGGCTAATCTAACTGCACACAGGTGAGGAAATTGTACAGGGTGCGCCGGATATTATTTACACTTTAGTATGTCAGAAGCAACTAAACGTTTAAGGGCCCATTTACACAAAGTTAAATAGGTTATTTGTATAGTAGAAAGTGATAAACTAACGGCCAACAGAATTCGCCAAAATAGCATAGCAATATTTCCGTTACCTATGCTTCCCATCCACTGCCGAATCCACTTTCTCTTCCCATCTTTATACGAAAAAGGAGAAGTCGGCTAGTATTAGGTCTCCAGAACGTATATACACTAGACAAAACGCGGAATTTCTGCCACTCCACGCCTGTGTGTATGGTTGTGGTATTGCACTGGGCAAGTCGGCCTATTGGTGTAAAGATAAGGAGGGCTCTATCATATTAAGTTCCGACAACTTCAAGAGTTGCTGATTGTTTTTATTAGTGTTACATTTACGGCTCGTATATTCTGTACCCTTGACAATGGAACGAAACAGCATTAAAATCACAGTTAAAAAACTTAATTGTACTACAAGTGCAGGTTACAAAATAAACATAACTAGATACGATGTTCTAGAAGATTCCCGACTTGTTATTTGTAATACGAGATGTTCACCAAAGGCGAAGCTTTTCTCACCGCGTAGGTAATCGAATACTCATATCATTTATAACACTCATTACCGAAATTCCCTTCAAACTGTGAGCTCGTGACCACTAAATATAACATGAGTGATGTGACAGAATTAGAAGCGACAAAATCAAATGTTAAAGCAACTTCCGACTAAATCATTCGACTGCGACATGCATTTCTTCAGTTATTAATTGACCAATAAGTTTTCAATTCAAATCATGTCAGTGATTCTGAATTATGAACTGTTATTAAGTACCCATGTAAATAACTAGCTATTGCTTACGACTACGTCCGCGTTAAGTTAAAAAATATGGCCTATATTACTCACAAATATATTACCTTTCTATATGAGAAAGAAATTTGAAAAACGTAGTAGTTTTTGAGTTATTTCAATAAATGCAAAAATGCAAATCTTCTTTATAAAATTAATAGCCAACACAACAGTAATAACGTAGTAGAAATAAACTTAACAACAATAATGTGAGTTATGAATGTTGAAAATTATGACTAGCTTTCGCCGACTCCGTCCGCGTTGAAAAAAACAAAAAATTTTTTGTTCTTCCAGACTATCGACTATATTTATGCCAAGTTTCATCGATATCTGTTCAGCCGTTTAGACTACAAACTCAAACAAACATCCATCCATCTTAACTTTCGCATTTATAGTATTAGTAAGATTATGTTGAAGTTACACATTTACAGTTTTCAATATTTAAAAAGCTTTACTTTAAGCAGAGATCAAAGTAGATTATGATATAACTAAACAAGTCGATAGTGGTAGGCTTTTGTTTCCCGTTACAGATAACTCCTGACGACTGTGTAGCTGGGACAGTCTGCGGCCCGTACGGTTGTTTATGAAACCGCAACTAGGCTACTCGCTAATCTATCGACAATCTACACTACCATAAAGTTATGACCTATATAAAAGTTAAATCCAACATATAAAATGCGATATTTTGTTAACTTATATTGATTTTCAAACTTAAAATATTAAAGTTTTAATTGTTCCCTTAATATGAATAGCTGATTATAATGATTAAAGGCGCGCACACACCTTTTACTAAATAAACTATCGCACAACTATTTGATTTCTAAGATCTCATACGAAGGTGCGCACTACTCGTTTTTAGTTGTGCAAGTAAACATTTGAATTTGCTACAAAACAATCGATAATCGCACAACATTTGTGCGATAGTTTAGTCAGAAGCGTCCGCCCGCTTAATAGGCATTACCAACATTATTTGTTTTCACTTTAACCTTACATGAATACTTAAACACTTAGGTGATGTCAGGCTGTTGTGATGTACTGTAGTGGTGGTACGAGCTACCATCAGAAGGACCGACAGGCCGTCAGCGATGCGCGACGCAGTTAAATGGTTAGGAAATGAAAAGCGAATTTTCCAATGATTACAACACAGGTTAAGGATCTTAGTGTAACTCTTTACGTAATATCATGACTAGAAAGGCTGATGTTGGTTTAAAAAGTTTTGAATAAGGAATTTGAATAATCCCAAAAACCTTAGTTGCGTTTCGAGTCACAAGTCGAGACAATTTACTTGTCTATACAAGTTGACTGTGAAGAATTCTTCAGTTTCGTATGATAGGATAACATGTCCATGCAAGACGTGACAATGTTTTCTTACTCCGTTGACCCAGGGACCCAAAATTAGTCTTGGCCTCCAATAGAATAACGCCAGCGTCCCCTCTCCTGGGCCATCACCTATTGATACTGTTTAATCTATACTATCTGGTTATACTAATATTATAAAGAGGATTTTTGGATTTGGATGGATTTTTGTGACCGATTTCAAAAATACTTTCACCATTAAAAGCTACGTAACATAGGCCACATTTTTGATTACTTCTTCAATTCACACGTACGTCGCTAGCAATAGCTAGCAGTTTAAACTTCATAAATTATAATCCAGTGTTTATAGAGCCACCGTATCAGGAAGAAAGTCGTGGAAATTGAATGCGGAGTATAGATAACTTGCCGTTGCTTCCCGGGGCACATCTAACTCAGTATCGGAGGCGCGGGCTATTGTCTCCCGGAGGCACTCGTGTACATTGTTCATTGTCTATTCTAAGAAAACGCAGATACCTTTTATATATTCAGTTATTTTAGCCGCCGTTGATACTGGGATATCCGTATGTATTATACAAACCGACCAAAAGACCAAAGAGTAACTTATAGAATAGACTAACAACTTCATTCCGATAAAACTAGAATATTTTCCACAATTAATACTTTGAAATAATATGTCATCGAAACTTATTACCCTTTTTAAAAGAGGAAAAAACTACATACGACAGAAACAAACCTATCGAAATAGAATTAAAAACACATAACTTTTAAAGTAGAAATGTAGAAGTACACTTATAAAAATTTAATATACATTAATAGTGTTTCGTGATAAACCTTCAATTACAATAGCTCTAAAAAATACAAAGGATACTTTAAGTAATAATCCATATTTGAAGTATCCTACTTTTTTAATGGAATGGCTTTTCCCTTCTATCTTTTGTGATTACTCTATGTTAACTTGCATCTGGACAAACACTATCGACATGACCAAGCTATTTACTACACGCTCGCCGGATGATAAACTGTATTAACCATTTATATTGTATGCTTATTTTGTTCCGGGATAATATTTGTGCTTACATTTGAATATATATGATTATGATTAATTAAATAATGAAGTAAAGTATAATTTAAAATAAAAATTAAAAACTCTCCAAATAAAATTGCACCTCACGATTCCACTTACAAATTTTTTTACTAAGTTTTATTAAACAAAATGCAATCCAGAAACATACTAACGATTAATTTTAATGTAATTAAGTATGTATTGATAAATAAAACTTTCTCGTGCAAATTATTTAGATAAAACGCAATCAAAAACAACCTTCTTGAACTATAAATAAGTCGCCTTTTACCATATTCTGACAGTTCTTATCAAACGCCTTTGATAATGCCGCATCATAAACAATCTAAATAGACCTAATCAGTATTCTATAGCGTTAGAAGTTAATTGCAATTCTATGCAATTAGCGAAAGCCATTAAAATTTACTATTTTGTGTTGAATATTTGTTTATTTATTTGAAATTTCCTTTAAATTTCTTCAACTATATACTCTAATCCTATTCGGCACAGTACTAAATAAAAATGTTGGCTTCTGATTCGACAAGATTCTTGATCTATGGCACCATAACTTAGAGCTTACTTACATACTTAACAAAGCTTTTATCCTGAAAAACAAAATATATTTCTAAATTGTACGTCTATATACTAGATACATTACTAGATTTCGCCCGCGACTCCGTCTGCGGGGAATAAAAATAAAACTAAAGTGAGTTGCCTATGTGTTCTTCCAATTTATTGTCTACGTCTATGCCAAATTTCATCGAGATCCGTTAAACCGTTTACGCTACAAACTCTAAAAAACATCCATCCATCTAAACTTTCTCATTTATAATATTAGTAAGAAGTAAGATACATAATTATTAAAATATTTTTGCAGCATTTTAGAGGCATGTGCACTTTTACTTCTCAAGTCCGCGGGCGGTCTTTTCTTAAACAATTTATGAGTTTCGGCGCCTTTGCGGACAAGTAGGAGCTCTACTACGCGCTAACCGAATCAACGATAATGTAAGTAATGGCCATTGATAATTTACCGCAATCTATATTCGCGAAACGCTATTTGCGACGATGATCTGAACACTGATTCATTTAATTGGCGAATCAATTCTAGCCGCCGTTTACTTGGCAGATGGACAACACGCTCCCGGGAGGTCTTCTGTTTCATAATTGTTTTAGTTAAAATAGCTTTTTTAAGATATATGAGCATTCGTGAAATTTTAAAGTGGAGTTATTTTATAGGTTATTTTACTATAATTTGAAGGAAATATCCCTTGAATTTAATCTATACTAATGTTGTGAAAAGAAAGAAAGAGAAGATTTGTATTTTTGAATTTTTAAAATAACTATTGCACCGATTTAGAAAATTCATGCACCATTATAAAGCTATGTTATCACTTAGAACCATGGGCTATATTTCTAATATTTGTTTAATTTCACACGGGCGAAGGCGCGAAAAACAGCTAGAAATAATGATATGGTTAAAGGTGACACAAATCCTCCTG